CTCATATGGATGTCATTGCTCAAACAAAGGTTCCCCCAAGTTATGGGAGAGATGGAATCTGTCACCACCATGACCACAACAGACCCCCACACCGGCCTGTGTGGATACATGGAACTTGGGCTGTATAAAGGTGGTACAAGGGCTCAGAAGATAAATTCAATGATGTCAGACCGAGGGGGAGGTTAACAAAGCTTGGAAAGAGGGATAGGCGATTGATAATGGGTACAGAGAATGCAAAATTGAGGGATCACAAAGATATTTGGCATAACTCCCAAGATAAGAAAGAAAATATTAAAACCATCTCAGCAACTGTCCTGAAATCAATTCCAGCTGGGTAAAAGGTAATTCCAGCAGTGGGAGATTGCAACCACTGAGTCAGGGACCACCGACCCAAGAAACCCACTGACTCAAAAGAAGAGAAAGAAAGACTGAGCACGCAGATTAATTACATAAGGAATGAGGGAATAATTTAACCAACAGAAGATAGAATACTAGTTATTAAGGAAATTGTGTAACATGTAGCCAAGAAGTATTACTTTCCCTGTTTGCTAAAATTTATAAATAGTGAAAAGATTTGATAGTGGTGGATTCTGTGGACTCAGCACCTCTTTCTGCACAAAACCTACCAGCAGAAGACTGAGCTGAGTCCCTTGTCTCACCACCAAGAACCCCAAAATGATGGAGAACACCACTCACCTCTCTCTCCCCATCCCTCTTTTCCTCACTTCTGTGCCTCATCTCCAGCTCTCCCTCTGCTCTCTCTCCCTCCCCCACACCATGCCAGGTGTTCTGCCTCTCCCTCTCCCTTTTCTAGTTCTTTCTGACTCTCTATCTCACATTTATTGTTAAAAAACTCCATATGGGTGACTTTGGCATATGGTCTTGTTTGCACCTTAATTTGAACAGAGGCATATTCTGCTTGTTGTATCTTAAAATTAGTGAAAAGAAAAATTCACTCTGTCCTTTTTTATGTCTAGAGGTTTGCGAATGATAATATTTAGCATCCTAGTCAGTTGCTTTATAAATGCTTATGGGCAAAATCCAAAATTGTACTCATTATTTCTCATTATGACTCTTAAGAAAGAGGAAAAGTTTCATGGATCCCAAGCATGAGAGTTGCTATCCATTTTTTCTGTGGAAGAGATTAAATCCAAAAAGTAGAGCATAGGGTGCAAATGTTGATCAGAAACTATGTTAAGTCTTCTTATTTTTTAACCAACTGAAAAAGAGGTTAATGGGTATATTTCTTCAAAGCTTAAATACATTTCTACTAACTACTTTTCTTCATAAGTTCATTTGCTATTTGCTGAATATACTTTGTAAAGTCAAATGATGAGTTTTGGACTGTGCCTGGCTCTTGTAGTTCATCATCAGAAAGAAGCAAATTAGAAAATCTCTGCCTGCATTCCCTTAATGCAAACTGGTGATGCAGTCTGGGTAGGAATTATTGTCTTCTGTCTCTGTTACATATATCATTCAATTAAGTCTTCACTATGTTTCTGTGGAACTTCTATGTTTTTAAAGACACATATTTATTTCTAGACAGAAGATTCTTTGTCTCATTTGTTTTCATATATAGCAAGGTACTAGTTCCTAATGTAGCATCCTATGACACTCCTGTGACAATTCAGTTGAATTGAAAGCATATATTAAAAGTGCTTCCATGTATTCACAATTCACCCATTGAATTTTTTAAATGCATCTTGCTTTTTAGACTATTCACATTTCTTCAGGACGCATCAGAGCAGCTGAGCTACGCACCAGTTCATGGCAAGTTGTCCTAAAGAATCTCAAATTATCTGAATCAATACCAAAAAGCCAAGATAGCTGTCCACAGACTAACTCATCCTTCCTGGCCAGTGGAGGTCCTTCAAATAGAGGTGATATAACATTTCTTATAACCATAACAATTCTTCTGGTGGTACAAGAAACCAACACCATAAAAAGTTGTCTTTATTTCACTCATGGCCCGTTTGCCTTCAAACTAAAATGAGTGAATGGTGGCCAACAACTACTTTTCCTTTAAGTTCAGGAAAGTCAAGTGCAGGTAATGCTTGTTTTCTCATATTTTAGTATAATCTTTTACTTAAATGTAAGAATGTTTTTACTAAAAAAACAAATATTTGTGAGAGATGGATTGTTTGTTTCTTTTCTAAAAACACTATGACAGGTATTTACTGAGCATTTACAACTTATTTTTGGTTCACTGAGCATCATATCTGTAAAACTCTGTACTAAAATTAAAAATATTAATAGAAATTTTAGCACTAACTCAGATGGAAGTTGTTTTGTTGCTTTTGCAACTAGTAATTCAAGGTCACACATCCAAATTTTCTTATTTTCATCTACGTAAAAGGAACAGAAAATATGGACAACAGACAAAATAGTATCAAAGATATGTTGAAAACTTGTATTAAGTGTTCAGGGAATCAGAGAAAGACATTTTTAGATGAAAATGAGACTGCTAAGACAATATGAAAACTTATACTGATTACTTATTCCATGCTTCATTACTTAATTAATCTACTACTCGCCTAAACATACTTTCAGAATACATAGCACATCATAATAAAAGTGACCAGGGTCTGTTTTGCTCAGTAAAAAAAGTATGGGAAAGGAAGACAGCTAAATCTTATTACAGCAAAGCTTGTCTCCTGCTGACATGAAAGGGAACTGCACAGCTAAAGCTCTTCAAAGGTTTTGAAGATGTACAGCATTGTAATAGTAGTCAAAGAGATCGTGAATTTGGGAATGTGTCATCTGATGAGTCCCTCATATCTGAATGCCTTTATTCCACCTCTCTGTGTTACACTTTAACCTCCTCAAAGAGATCATGCCAGTGTCACACCACTCAAGCAGCAGCATCTTTAACCATGAGTCACTGACATAAATCACACTTGCTTTTTTAGCACACCAGAAAAAAAAACAACTGGCTTTGTTCCCTATAAGAGATTTTTCACTTTTATGTTAATGTGATAAAAGAAAATACAAAAGCAAACCAAAAATATTCAACATTTAAAAGAGTATAAAAAAACTTGACATTCAATGACATTGAAAAAGACACCTGTAACATTCAGATCCTTAAAACAGTCTTCTCTAATTTGGCCATACATGACTGACACAATGAACACTGCTGCTATTTAGACACAGTACGAACAAAATGGGATATAGTAAGAAAAAATTAATATTATCTATATTAAATTTCTCAGTCTATGAGCAGGTGCATGATTGAATGTGTTCCCTTTTTTTTGTATGTTTGAGGATGGAGCATATGTAAGCATTTTGTGTAACCTTTTGAATGATGCAGACGTGCACTCTAATATAATAATCCTGAACTTATAAATTGAATTAACTTGTTACAAAGCAAGAAAAAATCTGTAACTTTTAAATCTATACATTCAGACAGCATTTAAAGCCTTAGAGACATAAAAAATCCCAAGAATCCCAAATTAATCCAGGGCAAGACTAGCTGTGCAAAATTTTCTTGATAGGTCAGCTGGTTAAAAAACTTAAATTTTATTTCTGCAGTTTCTAGTACTTGAATCCTCTTTTATTTTTTCACTGAGTTTAAGGTAAATTTTGCTTCCCAACTTTAGGTTAGATACTGTCTTCAATGAGTGCTAACCAAATTAAACATTTGAATTTCATCATCCTTCCTCATAATTCAACCAGTTCCATCAGCATCTATTTTTGTTAGGTTAAATTCATAAAAGAGCATCAAAATGAGGACATAATTCTCACTTTCGTATTTTATAAGTTAGGCAGCAATGAATGACACAGTCAGTCAGAGCTATCAAATCCTAAAGTAAAAAAAACTTGGTTCTTGTTCCTTATAGAGGAATACTTCTTTATTTTTGATACAGCCAAGTGGTAAAAGAAGATTATGTTTTTGAGCTGACTAATTGGAAATTATTTCCATCACAAAAATTTAATTTTCTGTTTCATCAAAGAGCAAATAAATAAATAAGCATTGCTGGTTTTCATGGACTATGATTTTTTAAAACACAGAATATTTTGTAAATGGATTCAAATGCATAATTTTGAGACAAGTTCAAGCATTGCCACTCAGAATGAAGCAATTTTTAACTGAAAATTAAAATAACATTTATGCATTCTTTGAGAAAAATCAAAATCAAAATCACTACATTATTGTGAGAAGTGACATAAAGAGTGCATTAATTGTCTAATCTTTATCAGCATAATTTTTAAAATGTTAAGTCTGTAATCTGAGTAGAATATGTAAGTATAATTTAAATGTTACAGCTAGCTTCCCCCTATTTTGTAGTTTTACAGTTTGTGGTTTTTATTATAGCTTTCCTATTTAAAGTGCTTTCCCACCAACCCAATTTTTTTCTTTAGGTTTAGAAATTAAGTGAAAGAATAGATGTTAAAAGCCATTATGCCAGACAACAGGAATAAGAAGATATTAGAGGATCTGCCTTACCCGAGTCTCTTACTCTTCATCTAATTAAATTAAAAATACTTAAGACTATATGTATGAAGAACAAAGTATGTGATATAGTAAGAAAAATGAGACAATCAAAAAGTCAGTCAGGTGGATGATAATAATAGAACCTGACTGTTTGAGTACCGTTTAACTGGCTTTATCTACTTTAGTAATTGATTGCCAGACACCATTCTTGACCACTTTTACCAGGCTAATAGCACAACATGTTTAGATGATCCAACCAATTCTTAGTTCTCTTTATGCTTCATAGTTGGGAGTAATACAGATCACTGAATAGCATTCTGAGAAATACTGAAAGGAATACCAAGAAAATGTTCCTTTGGGTTTTGGCTTTTTTTGCTGAAATACTTATAAACACTGACTTAAATGGTTATAGACTGCAAAGGAGCATCAGACATTAGAGAAAAATGTGTTTATAGAAAAGAAAATCAAAATTATGGTGAAATAATTTTTGTTATTTACCTAAGACAGCACAAACACTTCATTGGACTTGAATGAACAAAACACATATACGAAAACACAAGATACTTACTTGATGACTAGCCAAGACCTTAGAAATGTGTTTTCCACCGAACAGTCTTGCAAGCCTCCACTGAAGACGCCAAAATCCTGATTCAGTAGCTTTCACTGAAACAGAACAACAAAGTTTTAAACATGGTCAGGAAATATTGCTTTTCTTGGCATGATACTGTAGCAAACAGAAAACAATATAGACATTGGACTTTCCTTTGCAGAAGAACATAGAGATGTTAAGATGTGTATCCTGGTAAACCCCTAGAGTCTGAATTACGGTAATGCACGGATTTTTATTCTTAAGCAGGTGTTCAAAACTGGAACTCTAATTGAAATAATTAAATGTACAGCAGCGGTATTTTCAAGGTTTGTAAGTAGCTTGAAAATAACACGCAAATTCATTTTTCATGCCAAATACCAGAAAATGAGTTAATTTGAAAACCTTTTGAGTACAATCAAATTAATTACTGTCTTAGAGAAATAAAGAGGCATTGCTTCTGAAACTTCAGAAATCACTAAAAGTACTCAAACAATAAAAATAATCTAGTCCTGATTTTGGAAAAATTTAGAACTAAATCTGTTATAGAGATTCTTTTTCTTCATTTATATATGTTGCTTACCAGGGCTCCTCGAATATGCCCTATATCAATGTAATCTCATTTAACAGTTTTCATAGTTATTGTCACTTAACTAATCTCCCAGTACATGATGCCAATAATAATAAATGCATCATCCAAGAAAAAGTTAAATAAAGATGTATTAAATCACCAAGAAATTATTTGGCATTGTTTTTGTAAGGACCCTATCAGAATATCCAATGACATATATGTACATTCCTAGTTAGTGTGAATCCATAATTGGAATCTAGTTATACAATATAAGAACTGAAATAAACTTACCTCTTACCTTTTTTTTTTTTTTCACTTGATAAGCTTTAGTGTCTATGGATCTATGACATTGAAACAATCTGCTTCATATGGAGGACAAGTCAGTTTTAAAAAATATGTGAGACAGAGAATTACCCACTGTACTGTAAATTCTACTAGTAAATATGTGAACTTGCTTTACCAGGAAGCTTTGTTAGCTTTATTAAAATGCAACGCTTGCTTTAAAATACTCATGAATCATTCATAAGAAATAGGAAAACTACAGGCAAGCCTAACCCTTGGTTTCATATGTAGGTGTTTTGTTTTGCCCCCCAACAAGATATCATTTTTCAAGTCAAGAAACCTTGCTACTGACACACAAGTTTTCAAATATACCCTAAAGTCTGTGAACAAATGTTCGGGTCAAGTATCATCAGAAATTGCAAAAATGGGTCCACAATAATGTCACTTTTACTGCCTCTCATTTGCCTCCTTGTAATATAACTGATATCAGAAATCTCTAGTTACCCCAGAGAAACTATGAATAGTAACAGCTAGAAAGCCAGCAGCACCTGCATTGCACAGTGTAAACCATTTATAGATAAAGTGCCAACTGTCCCAGAAAAAGAGTGCTGATACTTGGTTATAACTGAAATGTGTTACCAGTGACGCGGCTTAATTGCACGAGGGCCTGTAACTCCTTCATACAACAGAAAATGTATGAGTTTGGATTAGTTTTTCCTTTTAAAGTATTATAAGATTTGCAGTCCGGTCTGGTTTTTTCCACTTCAGAATTTGTAAATTTCTTCATTGCTAAATTCTGTTTTAACATTTGCTATTGTTTTCTGCCTTACATCCTCTGATCTCTCCCTTCATTTCTTTCAATATTTCACTGGGATAATTGATCTCTGGCTAGGGTTAATCTTACAGGAACTGTTATTGATATCTTTATGAATTATAATTCTATTAAGAATGACCACTGAGTTGTTCTTTGATCCTGATGTGTTTCCTACGAGTATTAAGGTTCTGTTGAAACACTGAGATATGTATAATTCATCATATCATTACTAATAATATATTAAGCTCATTTGATTGCCATTGTGATTTCAAACAAATAATACATTGTAGTTATTATTAATATTAATATTATTAACATTAATTTTATTGTCAATACTAACCATCAATTGCTGTTGTCATTATTAATTAGTTTTAGAGCTTTTTTCCTCTAAGCTACAGTATTCACAGTGACTAGAACCCAACACATTAAGCCATTGTGATGTTTTTATTTTTTTACTTTTATTAGTGTGCTTTCTTAAGATCCCAAATTTGTCCAAGAGTTTTTCTTCCTGCTCTGCACTATTTCTGGGAATTCACAACCAATTTTTTTCCTTTTGATGTGATGTGTAATTAACTACCTGGTATAGACTGGTAATGATGTGCAAGAGTCCATTTTTCTTTTTCTGGGTTTGCAAATGTTCTGCTCAATGGCATAATAAATAAGCCTAATATGCATTATAAATACTAAAATGTATCATAATAGGGGAAAAAAAAAAGCTCTTGATATATTAGAAATTACAAAATTTTTGTTCAAAGGGCAAATGAACATTAGTGGTCAGCTACCAACTTCTTTTAGACAAACATTCAGAGTGAGAGCACATTATAGGTGAGACTGGCTAAATATAGATGCCTAATGATATCCAAATGGAACAGTCAGATATAAAAGTGGATTCTAATAGTTGACCTTTTGAGGTGGTCATCTGGCCATGAGTAAATATCACATGACATCCAACATGACATTAAGGCAGCTAAATCCCACTCAGCTATGCTGTGATGTTTTGAAACCAGATTTGAGATGAGTCCTGAGTATGCCAAGAGCAGTGGAATGAATTCACTAGAAAAAATATCTTTCCCTTTTAGAGGATGACTCCAAGAGGTGGAGTGTCACAGATTCTCAAGAGGAGATTAAAAAATGGCAGTGAAATTCTGGTGATTTTGAGACAATAGGAAAAAGAAAAAGAAAAAACAGGAAGAAATAACCCCAAAACCAAAAAAAACCCCAAAACCAAACCACCACAACCAAAAAAACCCAAAAAAACTAAGGGACTTTATTAACACAGCAAGCGTGCTTTCCCAGACTAATTTCCCCTTGATTACTCAACTGAATAATGTGCTGGGCCTACTGCTAGCTCTGCACTCTGCCTTCCAAAGCTGGTGAAGAATGCAAATCTCCAGCTTCAGGGTGAGATGTTCTTGCCCTTTAGAGCATGGGATACAAAAAGATAATCTTAGATATGTCAGAGTTGGGTAGCATACACAAAAGGACTGGTGACCTGAGAGGATGCATACAACCACAGATTTTGTAACTCCTCCCTCCTCACTTGCTTTGAAGTGCTATATATTTGAAGATACTTTTTCTTCTAGCGTTCTTAACATTAAAGGGGATATTTATCTAGAGAAGGCAGCTTAATTACAGAGAATTCATATTCCAGGATCATTTAACATTATTCTCAAAGTAAGTGAGATTAATGCTAAAGAACACACAATAGATTTTTTTTTAGTTCTGCAAAACACCTACCAGACTTTCAAAGAAAAATTACCTCAACTCTTACCTCTCACAAGCAAAGCAATCCTTTGTAAAATTCCTCATCAAGCAACACCATATGATATGCTCAAAATTGTTAATAAACTAATGCTCAAAATTGTTAATAAACTAAGGTAATAAAAATATGTAGCAAATTTCAGTTGCACACTTCAGTCTGTAAAGTTTATTTACACTAAATAAATTTCATGTCTAACCACATGGCCCTGTGATGCAGTGCTGTCATTGTCATTAGGTAAATAATAAGCCATTACCTCTCCACAGAGCCTGTACAGTCTCCATCTCTAGAATTATTCAAAACCCCGTTTTTTTGTGGGGCTCAACCATCTGCTGTCAACCAAGTGGTTTGAGAAACCCATTGGTCTACAAAACCTCCAAATTTCATTGATATTAATACAAATAAAATGTACACACACACCAGGCCATATATTGTCTTTCCTTGTAAGGGATATATTCTGTATTTCCTTGTAAGGGATGATAATAATTAGGTAAATATTTTCCTTTTCATTGTTTTATGAATTTTTTTGGCTGAATTCTGAATTCCATGAAACTGGATGGGCAAATTCCCAGTGAATTTCATGTGGAGAATTTTTATCCTTTTTGCATTAGACAAAGCACATGTTGAAATCAGGATTTTTAGTTTTTGATCATATAAGTTCATGTGATTGCCACTGTGTTTTGAAGCAAATGTTTCCATATGCACTAAGGCATGTACAGGCGTGCCTAAACTGAAGCACTCTGCACACCTGAACTTTAGTAAGGCCTTCAAAATTATCTCCCACAACATTCCCCTTGAAATCTGTGAGGAATGGCCAGTACCCCAGGTCCTGTGGAGCTTTTCAGAAGTACCTTGCAAGTTGGAGACAGGGACAGAGAAGAACTATCTGAAGTTCAACAAAAAAAATTGCAGGGTCCCTCACTTGGAGGACACATGGACCAGGACAGGCTGGGGCAGCTCTCTGAAGAAGAACTTGGGAGTTCTGACAAACAACAAACTGTTCATGAGCCAGCAGTGTGTCTTTATGGCCAAGAAGGCCAATGGTACCCTGAGGTGCATTAGGAGTAGCATTATGGGTCAAGGGAGGTGATCCTGAATCTCTACTCAGCCCTGGTGAAGCCACTTCTGGAGTGCTGTGCCCTATTCTGGGCTCCTCAGTACCAGTGAGACATGGGGCTCCTGGAGCAGGTCCAGCAGAAGGCTGTGAAGATGATTAAGAGATGGGAACATCTCTGTTGTGAGGAAAGGCTGAGGGTATCAGGCCTGTTCAGCCTCAAGAAGAAAAAACAGATGGGACCATATACATGTCTATAAGTATCTGAAGGGAGGATGCCAAGAGGATGGAGCCAGGCTCTGCTCAGTGGGGCCAAGCAATAGGGCAAGAGGCAGAAATGGATGCACAGGAAGTTTCACTGGATAAGAGGAAGAACTTCTTTATTGTGCAGATAGCTGTGCATAAGAGAAGACAGCCCAGAGAGGTGGTGGAGTCTCGCTCACTGGAGATCCTCAAGAGCAGTCTGGATGCAACCTTGTGCAATGTGCTCTAGGATCACACTGCTTGAGCAGGGCAGTTGTATCCCATAGGACCCACTGTGATCCCTTCCAACCTGTCTCATTCTGTGCTTCTGAGAAACAGGATACTTGTGGCTCA